AAAAATATGTAAGTTTTTAATTCTAAATAACAAAAAGCGCTACATAGCAACTAGCGCTATTAGTAATCCCACTGCAGACTACTTCTGCTTTCGTAACATTGTCCTTTTCAAGGTAGCTTATCATTCCTGTCGATTTTAAATTTTCTCGTGCTTGACTTAAAACTTTTGATTTAATTTGCACTGCATCTGTAGCATCTGTGTCTGTTCTTGAAATTTCTACATTTTGAGATGTTGAGCAAGAAGATGGTAAACTGGGACCATTGCTTTTTTCAAATAAAGGATGGTTTGAATCTTTTAAATTTTGGATAGTAATATGTTTCTTGCTTAACATATGACTTTCTAAGGCCTTTTTCCCCATGTTGCTCAATGCCATATTTGTATTGCAAACTTTACAATGCGCGCAATTTTTGTTGTCTTCTACTGACTTCACCCACGAAAAGCGTTGCTCTTCCAACCATTTGGGGTTAAATACACATTTTCTTGTCGAAGTCATTATTAAGCAACCTTCATGAAAAGTGCTTACACCACTAAAACAGTCTTTTAAAATTTTGAAAAATAACTAATAATAATCTGCAATCAGCGATATACATTTGACATAAACAACCATGTTGATCATAACTATGTAGTTTATGGCAGAACTCTGATGCACCTTGCAGAGATGGACACGTAACATGCGTCTGGCTGCGCAGACAGCCGAGGTCTGAATTGAACGCGCAGACGCACCATTAAGTTATTACTAGTATTAGCGCGTTATTTCAAATTGTGCAAAAGTATGAAAAATGAGTAGAAATAAATTTTATTTCAAAAAATTAATTAAATATTTCTTTCCAAAAATTCCAAAAAATGATGGAAATTCCATGACTATTCCAGACAAAAATCAATTCCATGACTTTTCCCTGACCTGGAAATTTTCCCTGACTGTTAGACACCTTAGTAACCCAATTCGGTTACAACTCGGTTTACCCAATCTGCCAGGAATTGTGCTGCCTTACTAGGACCTACCCTTAACAATAATTGTGAATACTTAAAGTTGTAAATATTAACAAAAAATTGTGAATTGTAATATTAAACAATTTAAATATTTCAATCTTGAAATTAGTTTTTAACCCAAGAAAGGGGGTTTTTCAATTAAATTGAGTGTATTATTTATTAAATATCCCAAATACAAAATTATTTAATAAAAAATAAATAAATTTCAAAATATTGAATATTTAAAACCAAATTCAGTATTTATTTCATACGAAGTTAGCGTCCAAGGATCCAGCCTGAGATTAGTCGGGCGGGCTGTTTGGAACTGACAGAAATCCAGTTTGTCAATTCTTGGACGTGACAATAAGCACGAGGAATGACACTTTACATTTTTCTTCATTTGCAGACTATACATGGATCATGAGGAAAAAGTACACTAAACTGTATTAAAAAGCGTTGAACGCAAAGGATGACCCTGTTTTGAGGGTCATTTATACAAATGTGTAGAGCTTTAAAAGCCCACTTACACCGCAAAAAACATCCTGGAATTTTGACAAAAAAGACAGATTTAGAGTTGCAACCATAACAACCTATTTCATTTCGAATTATTGAATTCATCATAAAATAATGAGCCCCTTTATTGACACTCCCTTCTTCTCCAGGAGGTAGTTATTCATTTGAATTGCAGAAGATATATCTCCAGCTAAGATTTAATCTATCGTTTGAAATCCAGATGTCATCTGTCAAGCATACGTATGATGTGTTTTGTTTTTCGAACAAATCAAGGGGCCAACCATAAAGCATGCTAATATACTCATTGTAATAAATAAGAAACAACTGAAAAATTGTTTGATGGTTTTACAAAATAATAAACCTATCTATTTCATGTGTTTGTTACAAGAAACATTTCCTAAGAAACCTGCATAGTATCCCTTGGTCGAGCGCGTCTAGGCGCAGCTCCCAGTTTGGTTGAGCCCTGGAGTGTAGGTACACTAGTGATGGTCGAGAGCTCGAATCTCGGGAGTCATCCGGTTAAAAAATTTCGAGAATGTGTTAGGATTTCTAATTTTTTTATTTTATTAACATTATCAACATCAAATTAAGATAAAATATGACACTCTCTTAATTTATTATATTAATTTTAACTCTATTTTTTTGTAACAAAGTTCTATATTTGTTATAGTTGTGTTATATAAGATGTTGTTACTGGATTTAAAAAATGTGTAATTGATTTATATAATCGTTACATATCTGTTATAAATCACTAGTAACAGTGTTATGTATTTGTTACATATCTGTTACAGAGATCAGAGTTGACATTTATCGTAACCTGCTTGTAACATGCTACAAGCTTGTGGCAGAACGTGTTACATTTTGTTATATAACAAATATATAACCATTACGTATTCGTGTTTGCTGGGATATTTCTTATATCAGAAAGAGAGAGAGAGAAAATTGTTTCTATCAAATTACAACACTATTTCCAGCATTATAAAAATGTATTGAAAATATTATTTATCTAATAAGAATAAGAGTGAATGGTTTATTTTCAAACTTATGTAATGCATTATTATTTAATAGTTTGAATTATTTTATAACTAACACCATTTTTTATGTAATTCTTTGTATTTTTTAACATTTGCATACTTGAAATTGATTTTTTCTTAAATTTTGTAAGAAATAATCAACTGTTTCTATTTAACCCTAAGTTTTAGCAAAGTTGAAAAATTTAGGGGTAAATAGAAACAGTTGATAATTGCGATTTAACGATACCCATATTTTCTACTACCCCATAAAATTGTTCCACGGAAGTTAAATAATAACTCCATATACACAAAAAAACCGTAAGTATTGCAATTTGAAAGAAAAAACTTATGTTATTGGTGAAACTTAGTAAATCTGTTTCTATTTTTGAAGAAAATCGTTTTTATATTTTTTGAAATAACTTTTTCTTATATAAAAATTTTAATTAATTCTTATCAAAATTGTATTTCTGGCATGAAAACAAATCGATTGATGTAATAAACTTCAAATTTTGCCAATATTTATAAAATTGATCGCTATTTTAGTTATACTCTCTCTTTTAATCATAAGAATATAAGTGTATCATGATGAGGAAGCTAAATGGTCATGAAATTAACACCTTTTTTAACTTTAATTGTTTATTTAATTAGATTGCTAAAAAACTAATTTTTGTATTCACAGATATTGAATGCAATGAATGAAATAGTTGTTTACTGAGGAATCAATCGTCCAAAGGAACAATGAAGGGAAATCAAATTTAAATAAGAACAAAAATTGCAAGTTTTAGAAGAAAATAAATAGACAAAAACAATTTCATCATATGTAAAAAATTTTTTGTTTATTTAATTTTTATTCAGAATTATTTATATTTTGATCTACTTCAATTATTATTATTATTATATTTGCTATTTTTGCTTACTGCGAAATTATTTGATGTTAATCATTAAGTTTGTACTCAAGTTTGTTTATAAAAAATAAAAATAGATTTTTTGTACGTGAGTCCAGATTACATATTTTAACTTAAATAATTTTTTTTTATTTACCTGAATACCCTAATAACACAAGATATCTTGGGATATATTGATAATATCCCGCAGATATCCTAGGGATGTCCTATGGATGTCAAAAGGATCTCTTAAGGATATCCAAAAAATCGGCGGTTTGGATATCCCATGGTTATCCATAGGATATCTTCTGGATATCTCTATAGACTTTCATAAATGTCCTCCAGATATCCCATAGATATCGTCAGGATATCCCACAGATATCATCAGGATATCCCATAGATTTCGTCAGGATATCTCACAGATATTTTCAAGATATTCTCAGTATATCTTCTGGATGTCAAGAAGATATTCTCAGGATACTGTTTTTAAAGTTATTATGAGACTACGAGTGAGAATATTCTGTGAATTAAATTTTATATAAATAAAATAAAATGCAACTTGTTTTTCGAGAAAGTTGTTTAATTTGAAAAATTATTAACTAATTTTTTTCTCATTCGTGATTCATTCCTTTATTCATATGCTTAATATTGTCAGAAAATAAATTGGCTTTAAACAATATAAATTCTTCTCCGCAAATAACGAATAACTATTAATATTAATACATTAAGTGCATAAGTTTATTTAAAAACTTTGAAAAATGCGTTTCAAATCTTCATTTAAAATAAATTAGAAGCTCATAAGATTTTTGTTTTTATTATATTATTATTCATTATATTAGCTTAACAATTTTAACCTTTAAAAATATATGTTAAATATCCCGTGAATATCCTAAGAATATCCCACGGACATCCTGAGGATATCCCGTGGATATCCTGCGATATAATATCTAATAGATATTTTGTGGATATCCTATGGATGTCCTGTTGATGTCCCACAGACCGGCGGTTTGGATATCCTAGGGATATCCCAAGATATCCTGGGGACCATTCTAGGATATCGACCATTGATATGGATATCCTTTTGTTATGAGGGTATTGAGATATAAATTGTGAAATTTGTAAAACGGACAAATATTTTCACTAACATTTTTTTGTGATATTTCTGAAATATTACATTGTATTATTCCTTGAATCGGACATATAAAAGTTTTTGAAACATTACTGTAACATTTGATTACAATATTTCAAATATTGCTGCAATATTATGTATTATATGTGTGAATTTTTAAAAAATAACTGTAAAACATAATTTTTTACGAATAATTTCCAAAGAATATGAAATCTTTTCATTTATTTAGAAATTATTATAAAGAATTCAAACAGCATAGTCTTTTATTATAATAAGAATTAAAGAATTTTACAAAAAAATTTACGGTATTTTCTTATATATATATGTATATCTTATTGACATTCACTAGTTAAGTGTTAATTTTTGCATTAATATTTTAAGGTTTGAATGCATATTACTAATTTTTTGAAATATTTAGTATTAAAATATTTATTGCAATTAATACATCTTTGTCAAATGATTGTTTTACTTCCGACCAATGTGGATAAGTGATTTTTAAGAATTAGTTATTCCGCATATAGTTGTGACAACTGTCTCCGTGTTGGTGCAACGGTTTACCCCCACGAACAGCAAAGGCTATATAGCCGACACCGTTAAGAATTTCATCTTCAGAACTAAAAGTCAGTGTCAAGGGAATCTACCTTGAATACTCATAAGTGAGTACAAAACAATTTTACTGATATTATTTATAGATTATTAATTTATTATTAAATTATTACTTAATGATTATTTAATTTATTTATTATTGTTATTATTATTTCATTACTATTATTATTAAAATAAAATTACATATGACAATTTTTCAAATAAAGTTTAGTTATTTATTTAAAATGTAAATCAATCCTGTGTACTTTATAGTAATTTTTGTTAATATTTTTTTTCTATAATTGTAAAAAAAATTAAAACCGTATTTTTTCTTTGTTATAGATTTAACTTTCGAATAAAAAGTTTTCCAAAATTTTGTTTTCATTAAACAAAACGTTTTTAAAATTGTGATAAATTAACAAGAATAAAGTGAATTATTAATGAACTAAAGTTACACAGTTTTTGGATAATGTTGACTAACTCGTATTTGATATTATGCAAAAATGAATATTTTTTTTTTTAATAAAAATATTTAAGTGTATAGTTACACAATTTTTTAAGTTGTCCGATAAATTTGGCCAATCATTTAAAAATTAAAATTAATATATTACTATTCTTTTTATTATTATTGTTAGTATAATTATTATAATAATAAAAATTATAATTTTTTTGTCAAAAAAGAAAATTTATATTATTCAAATTTTAATGTTGTTACTGTGAGGTATTGAGAGTAGTGATAAAATTAATATATAAACAATAACATTAAAATAATAATTATATTTATATTACTTATTAATATATAATAATTCAACAAAAAAGAAATGGAAGAATTTAATTTGATATATTAGAAAATATTACATGCTCTTAATTATGCATTTATTGCTTCCCAAGAATATTTTACGTAATCATTATCTTTAAATTTGAATAAAATATATTATTTTGCAAATATTTCTGTACATTAGTAAAATCTTATAAATGATTAACAAACATAAATATCCCATAATATGGCGTTTAACAGTGATCTTACTATGACTCCCATTAGCCTACTTTTGAACCTAAAGGCTCTTGAACTTCGTAAAAACCGTTACTTTAAAATGCGGTCACGACCCACTGTCACTATATTACTTTAAAGAGAAAAAATATGTATGATTTCTTTCGTATAATGCAGTAAGTGGGTAATCTTTATTTTGTTTAAATTCTTGTTTAAAACATTTTTCTGAAATAAAAGCAAAAAAAAATTTTAATATTAGTTCATGCAACAATAAAGGATATCAATAAAGTGAAAATTTAGATTTCCATTTGAACTACTAAAATCTCATAACTATGATATTTAGAGAGAATTATTTAAAAAAAGCGAATTTGAAAATTTCTTATTACAAATTATTTACAGAATATGTAGTTAAAAATTTCCATACAATTTAATTCGATAAAAAAAATTTTTTCTTTATTTTATTAACAAATTTTGTACCACAATTGCTCCAAACACGAAGGAAGCTATTATGAAATAAAATTTGAGTTTATAACTGAGATAAAATTTCTTTTTCTAATTAAACTTAGAGAAAATCTTTATAAGGATGTCCATAACACGACTAAATAGTTTAAAAAAATTTTCTATAAAGATTAGAATTTTTGTTAAGCATAGAATAAAAAAAATGCGATTTTAGTACTATAATGGCTCCGATTGACGGTAATTATTTATTATAAAATAATTAATTAATATTTCTTTATGAAAAAATTACCAAATATTTTTCAAATGTTAATATTAATGACATACAAAAGTTTTTAAATAAATAACTTCACCCGTTTTTTTTTAATTTGAAAAAAACCTTAAATTTGTATGCTTCTGCTGCCTCCTTAAAGTATTCGAAATGGCTGAAAATTTGTTTAATGAAATATTTAAAACCTTTAAATTAACAGATATCAAATTAATTCATTTGTAAATTAATAGTTACTGTCAAACAGTAATCCATAATGTATTTAATAAAATTTGTTAATATTGATTATTTTGCTTCCTTATAGAAAAAGCTTTATATTCATGAAAAATTTTCAAATTTCCCAAAATAGATTATATCAACTTATTGTTTGATTAAAAAATACCGTTTTTTTCATAAATTTGTTTTTATATTTAAAATGTTCTTTAATAAATAAAAAAACTAAATTTTTTGAATCAAAACGAGTCGATTGGCCTGTATAAAGTATATATTTTATTAAAAATTGTAGAATTCATTAAGATTTTTCCTTTTTTGAAGAAATTGAAATTCTTTATATTTTTCTACAAATTTGCAAATTCACATTATTTTGATATTTTCGAAAAAAACAATAACTTAAAAAAAATTAATATTGTTTAGTCAACTTTAGCGCATTTTCTTCCGGAAGGATAGCACTTTCAAAATATATAAACAGATTGTCTCCAAAACATTTTTTTGTTCATAAAAAGAAATTTTACTATTTATTGAAAACACGTAAAAGAATTAAAAAATATTATTTATCTCTAATAAAGTAGTTCTGAACAAATTTATTTAGGTAAAAGAAGTTACTTGCTGTTCCCTACTCAACATTTACTTAGTTTAGTTAATTGAGTTTTTAAAATTCAAAGATGACAGATATTTTTAAAAATAATTCAAAATGCTTTAAAATTTGTTACCAGGAAATTTTTAGGGTCGCTGATTACAAACCCGATGTCACTTTTTTAAAAAACAAAATGTCGGATCCAATATGGAGGACGAAAAAATTAAAAATCATTTGAATTTGCTTAAAAATTGTTTCCTTGGGGGTTTTCAGGAATTCTGATGACAATTCCAATGTCAGTTTCTCAAAATTTAATATGTCATATCCAATATATAGAATTTTTTTTTAAATTCGTTGAATTTTCTTGAAAGTGTTATTTAGGTATTTCTAGATCGCTGATGACGAATCTGATGTTAGTTTTTCAAAATTCAATATGGCATATTTAATATAGCAACAAAAATTTAAAAACCAAACGATTTTTAAATTTTTTATCGACAAATTAATTTTGCCATTTTAAATATTGATAAATTGACGTTTGATTCGTAATCAGCGACCCTAAAAACTATAAGAGCAACTGCAGCTTTCTTTTCTTAAATGTCCAGTTTTTAATTATTTTTTTTTACAAACAGAACCGATATTTTTGAGATTTTTTGTTAATTAATATAACATTCTTTATAATTTAACTTTTATTTAAAAAAAAATTATGATGTTTTTATTAGTTTTTAGGTTATTGCAATTTTTGTGAAAGCGTGCAAGCCACACATATATCATGTTCATGACTCATACGTGTGACATTGTATGGGGCGGCGCTAAACCGCTGCACGCTTTCATGAAAATTGCGATATCTCAAAAACTATTAAAGTCTCCATAATTTTTTAAGAAAGGTGAAATTACAAATTCAAGTGGAGTTAGCACCATTTTTTAGAAAAATCAGATGTATATAAAGAATTCTGATATTATAAGAGTTCCCGAGTTTTCTAACAAGAAATAATAGTTTCGCAAAATTACAAAACTTATTATAACATATTTTTAACCCTTAACTGGAACCGTGGGTCTAGTAGACCCGATCATTTTTTCGAAATCAAATTAATTGAATGTGTAGCTTTTGAATATTTTTTATATTTTAATATATTAGTTTGACATGTTCATATTCATTTTGTAAGTTTTTCGATACAACTAATACGATACAAAACAATAAAATTATCTTCAAACATTAATAAAAATAAATTTTTAATTTTAACCTAAAAAGTCACATTTTATTCTGCAAAATAAATACCTTTTTTACAAGTCCTGCTGTTGTAATTTTTTTCTTAAAGAATAATACATCAAGAGTATAACCTTAAAATTTTAAGACATAATATTAAAATTTACCTAGCAAACACGTTCTATAAATGTTATATAACAGTGAGGACACAGTTTTATAGAACATTTGTTACAAGCTGGTTATGAATCTGTTATATAACCTCATTGTAACAGAATGTTACCGATCTGTTCTATATTATGCTAACTTCACAGTTCTGTAACAATGTAATGTAACATTTCTCTAAAACAATCATCACAAATGATCTGTAACTGACGTTCCAACGTAGTTTTAGAACTGTGTCCGAAAAATGTTATGTAGTTGTTCTAAAATTTTGTTGCAGATTAGTTCTGGATGACATTTGTTCCTAAAAATGGGAACAATTCTGCAACAGTGTTACATAACATTTCTATAACACTACAGCCACAAATTTTTTTTAACTAATGTTCTATCGCATATCTAGAACTATGTATATCGGAACAATGATATGCAACTGTTCTAAAATTTTGATCAAGTTCAGTTCTGGAATATATTTGTACCTGAGATTAATAAATAAATAGTTCATTTTACTTAAGTATGTAGTTAAATTTAAAAAACTCTAAAAATTTTATATATCACATAGTCTTATTTTTCTTTATATAAGCAATACAGTTTTCAAATCCTCCTCAGTCGCAAGTTATCAAATCAATTTTGTATTTATATTCCCATGTCAGGGTAGCGTAATGATTAGCGTATTAGCCTGTGGAGCGACATTGTTATAGAACAGTTGAAATTTGACACTGTCCTAACTATGTTTATTTTAGAGTTTCCTTTTTCTATTACATCAAGTTTTAATATTTTTATTAAGAATAAAAATATTTTGCATATATTTTTAGGTAATAATCGTGCGATAATAGTTATGTATTATTTTATAGTTTTTACAAAACAGTTCTAGAACTGTTACAAATACATTTGTAACCATATTCTAGATCTGTTACAGAATCTTACATATCCGCTGAGTACGACATTTTGCGTAACCAGTAACTCACAGGTTGATAACCAGTTACAGAACATGTTCTCAAAAAATTTGTAACAGTTCTATAACTGACCTGTAACAGTGTTTGCTGGGTACATAACTCATGAAAAAGTCACAAAAATGGGTCCTACGCAATTAATTAAAAGAATAAAAATATATTTAAAATTTTTTTTATTAAATAATAAATTATTGTTAAATAATTATTCACATTAACTTACAAATGATTTTTTCCCATTGGGTAATTCAACGCGAATTTGTAACTAATTCATTTAAAGAACGACTCTCAACACGAATCCGTAAACAGAATTGCTTCATCAGCATAAGATTATTCCGAGAAATTTGACCTAATAAATTAAAACAACACTTCCACACAGCACCCAAAATTCCCTGAAACTTGACAGAACCTCACATGGCGAGGTTAGGAAGCTTTAGTGGCAAGGTTCATACAAGTTTGTGTCGATGTTTAAATGTCCACATGAAAAGAATATTTACACGAAGCTTTGAGGAAATATTACACATAAATATTCACGTGCAATGTTCAGTCAATGTTGTGTCAATATGGAAATTACATTTTCGCCTAGTTATAAAAATTTCATTTACTAATATAATAAGTATAGGTGAATATTGACACAACATTGACTGAACATTGCACGTGAATATTTATAGTGTAATATTTCCTCAAAGTTTCGTGTAAATATTCTTTTCATGTGGACATTTAAACATCGACACAAACTTGTATGAACCTTGCCACTGAAGTTTCCTAACCTTGCCGTGTGAGGCTCTGTTAAGTTTCAGGAAATTTTGGGTGCTGTGTGGGCTGTTTTTAGGGTAGTTTTAGGATTTTTTTAATGAAAAACCTCCGAGTAAGAAGTTTTGAGCCAATCCGGACGATTTTTAAAAATTTGTCCGCCATATTGGATCCGACATTTTGTATTTTGAAAAATTGACATCAGTCAATCCGCGTCTTCAAACCTTATAATAATCCTTCAAACAAAGAAAAGGTTGCGAAATCTCCCACCGTGGCGCGTTTAACGTTTCATTGTCAGTGTGGATTTCAAAGATGGATAACTCATAAACAAATAGATATTTTTAAAAGTTAAAAATTGGAAAATTTTAAAGAAGCTATGAACTTTTAAGTGCATATGTTTAATGACCAAGTAAAAATGTTATTTATAAATAAAAATAACAACATAAAAATTTGCATAAAAATAATAACTATTACTTAAAGCAAAATAATATTTTTAATATATGTGACCTGGACAGTTAAAGTCGTCTAAGACAGTTACGTCCGAAAAAATCGATTTTTTATTGATTGGTGATTCTTATAGAGAAAACTTTTTTTGTATCAGAATAACCAATCAATAAAAAATTAATTTTTAGAAACTAAGTTCCTTTTGCCTGTTCAGGTCACATATTACTATAATTTTTTTTGTACTTTTTACTATAAATATAGTTCCTTTCTTCTCCATTAATAATATATTTAAATTTATTGCAGGATGAAGTATTATCAATATTTTGCACTTTGTTCGTGCTTACTCGTTTTTGGGCAAGCTTTTTCACTTCCACAACATGTCGAGTTCTCTGAACACTATCAACAAAAAGCAGTGGACTCTCGCAAATTTGCCGAAAAACCAAATTCTTTAAAAAAAGTTGGACTGGATGACATTGAAGAAATTAGCACAAATCAGATTCAGGTATAGTATATTGTGACGTTGTAAAATTTACAATTTTGCTAATCACCAAGAAACTTACAATTTGTATAGTCGGAATAATTTTCATTATTAATTTAAAATACTCAATGATATCACAATAATTCGAGAAATGGAAAAAATTATTTAGAATTAATTATATTTAATAATTAATTATTGTAACCCCTTTTTTATATGTACTATTCCCTTTGCGAGTCAATATCGATAGACTCAAGATTTTATAAAGAAGAATTATTTATTATCAATGAACTTAACCTCACTTTCGGAATTTTGGATATTATAAATTTTGGAATTTAATTTAAATTTTAAAATTTAATTTATAATTTTGGAAAGCTTCTTTATATTTTTCAGCTACTGCTCGAAACTTCTATTAATGCGGGTTAGCAAAAGCCCATATAAAATGTTTAATTTTCCTGGTATTATATCAATTTAAGGTTTGAATAAGATACTTATATGGACATCTTTTTGCTTGAGTGTCATCGTTTTTGGAAATATCAATTTTAATGCCCAGTTCATTAACGTTTATATAGGAGGAAAACTATAAAGATTTACCATCTCGAATTGGATTAACTTATTAAAATCGCTAATCAAGAAAAAGTAACAAAAACTCTATTTTTATTCAAGAAAAAAATATAAATTTTAATAAGATCTTTTCCTTAATATTTGAATTTTCGCACTCTTTTGATTTCGACTAATCGGTATCAAAATATACAAGAAAACTTTTTTACCGACTGTCGAATTTGTTTTTTATCACGATTTTTTAGAGATCTGCATTTTTTGGTGGGCAACTAAATCTCCTAGGAGACAAACAAATAACGTCTTTTTTTCATTCTTTTCTTGTAATTTCATAGAGTACACTACATTTTATTTTATTTTTTTAATGAAACCAATTATATAATGATTCACTTAATTTTACCCAAAAAAAAGGAATATTCATATAACAGAATATTTTTGTATCATAGGAAGGTGGAAATACAGGATTTTCGTGGTCGAACATGCTAAGCATGCTAATGCAAATGCTACTCGGACAAACAACTGGAATAACTGGTCCTAGTAAAAACGAAATTGACGAAGTTCCTCCGAGTCCTTGGGCTAATCTTTTATCAGTTGGCTTAAGGGTTTTAACTGCTATTTTGGGTGGTCCGCAACAAACTGTAGATGGAATTGATAAAGTTGATAATCAAAGTAGTCCAATGCAGGTATGTAAAAATGATTTCTTTTTTACTTTCAACTAAACTAGTAAAATTTAGCATATATTTATGGAAAATATATTATTTTTGCATTTAAATAAGCCAAATATATTAGTAAAATTGTATATCCCACCGAAGTACATATTTTATGTCGCTGATTACGAATTTGGTATCAGATTTTGAAACTACAGAATGGAAGATCCAATATAGCGGATTTTTTCATATTTGTTTGAAACTCGGAGGTTTTCGAGATCACTTGTTCGCAAGTGCTATGTTAATTTTTTTTAAATTCCAAGGGGCAAATCAATAAGTTCGGAAGATTTTTTAAAAGTTTACCGAATGTTCTTAAACTTGTTACAAAAGAATTTTCGGGTTAAGCAAATCTGATAAATAATGAAAAACTCCGCCATATTGAATACACCATTTTTAATTTTGAAAATCTTATGTCAGATTTATAATCAGAGACAAATTATAGCAATGCCATTTAGGGTTAACTACAGAACCAAAAAACCCTGAAAAAGTCATGTATTTCTGAAAAAAGGTCTGGAAATGTCATGGAATTTTAAAATGTAGCCTGGAATTAATTTATTTTAACATTTGTTATGAACTTTTTTATGCCCAAATGGATAATATAGTATCAAATTTGAAAGATTTAAAAATTGGAGAAATTAGTTTTTTTACAAAAATTATTACTTAAAAAAATTAAAGTATTTAAAAAATGTTTATTTAAAAAAAAGGTTTTCCATCGTAAAACAGTCATGGGGTAATTAAAGTAAGGCGACTCACTTGGGTTGGTAAAGAAGTTTCAAGTTTTAAAATAGTTGATAAGGTAATTTTTGATGTTATCAATTGAATATTTTGTTATTAATTGAGATTGTGAAATATTTTGAAAATATAAAATATAAAATAATGATTTTGTTTTAAAATTTAATTTTATCTGATTTATCATTTATCATTTAAAGCCATGAGAAAAGTATCTTAATGAATATATTTAGTTTTATAATATACAAAATGAAGTTCCAGGAATCCAAACAAATTCCCTGATATTTTCAGGTTTTACACGATTTCAGACATTCATGTAAAGTACAGTATGTATTTATTGTTTATTCAGAAAATAATGCTAATTTGTTTAATAATTATTTTTCCATGTTAAGCAGTTCATTAGTATCGTCCTAAATCTTTTGGATGCGCTAAAAACATCATTTTCGCATCGCTCATTAACTGCTCGCTCAATTGGAAAAAGAGACACAGTATCTGAAGCTGCTGTAGCATCTATTTCAATGTTAAAGGTAAACTAATTTGAAGTTTTTATATCAAACTTTTTTTTTGACTATTTAGAAATCAAGTTTTTAAATTTTTGTATTTTTAAGAAATGATTTATAAATTTAAAAATAAAATAATAATCGAAAAAATATAATTATAATAACATTAAAATCTGTAAATTAATATTAAAAATTAATATTATTAATTTTAAAGTACATGTTTTCTTTTATTTAAGGGTTACGTAAAATCTATAAAGTCATTCGGAAATTTAGCAGCAGTTGAAGAAGAAGGACAACGAGGATGTGCTGAACGTGCATTATGCGAGGCCAGTGCTGAATGCATTGCTAATGCACAAGGGACTAGTTCTATCTTTTGTCAGTTAGGGTCGTAAGTAACTGTTATTTGTATATACGTAGTTGAGAATAAATAATTAAGAATAAACAAATCACATTCTTTTACTATCAATAAAAAACAAGTTGTCTTCTCTCTAAATAGAATCTTCTTCCCATTAATTAGCCGATTTAACTCGTGCTATTGTCTCAATGAGAAACATTAATAATGAAACTGTAATTCAATTCATGACACTTAACTTCTTATGTTAATTTTATATTTAAATTTATTGTTCTGTTAATATTTTAATTAATTATTTCAGATATGCAACGAGTTATCTACTTCAAAAACAAAGTGGTGTTGGTTTTGATGCGCTTTATGCAGCCGGGAGACGTGGACGATCTGGTGAAGACTGTAGATCTCTATTTGTTGAATGCAACGCTGTTTAAATATTTATTTAACGTTATACATTATTTTAGCTTTGCATAGGTAATTGAAGGATCGATCTAAGTGAACACTCATTACATGCATGTAACTGTTACAGAAATATTATTGTACCCATAGTGTATGGACTAACTGCTTTATGACAGTTATGTGTATGTGAATAGTATTCGCTAGGAAATCACTTGTTTCAACATAAAAAATTATTCATACATTAATTGAGTCAACACAGTTCACGATTCAAAGAAATAATTAAGGTGCAACACCTAATCATCGACATATACCCAATTATCAACAATTATATTCATTTTTCTAATGTTATTAGGAAAATGATATGTAAGATTCATTTTTTTACTTTATATATGAAGCACATTAATTTCATTTAAATATTTTTTGATACAAAAAATTTATTTTGTTCTGTCAATAATTAGATCATTGAGTTTCTAAAATTAATAATAACAATTTTAGATTTTTGCTTGTACACAAATTACATCTGACTTGAAAAATAGAAATTTCATTTTATAATATATTTCATAACTCAAGTTAGAATGAGATTTTTCCAAGTTCTCATTTTAAAATGGATATGTTTGTGATTTGAAAATTTTAATCATTTAACACCGACATCGTCGATGTTAAATAGAAGGACTATTATGTATTATTTAAATTATTACTATTAAGGTAACTTGTAAATATTTATTTAAGTTTAGAAAAAACAATAAAAGCATACTTTGTTCTAAATATTAATTTTTTTATCTTAGTAGTTGTAGACATAAAAAAGACGACCTACAAATGCCTAAAGTATGTTCTATATCTGCCATAGGACCATCTTCAGAACGTCTTAAGAATGTCCTGAAATTTTTCTCAAAATGTCTTAAATACGTAATCAGATGGTTCCCAGAATGTCTAAAAACTAAAAATTATCCCCAAAATGTGAAATAATGTTCTCAAAATGTTCCAACCATGCACTGAGAATGTAACAAACACATGCTGAAAAAATCTAAGGATTCGTCTTTTAATATCCTTAACATATCAGGAAAAATGTACTGAAAAGTTCAAAAATCTTTGATACGGAATGAATAATTGAAATGATGTACACTTTACAGCCCAACGTGCGCGTAATGTATTCAGTCTTAAACGCCAATCAACCCACAACATCCAAGTGCTATTAAAGATCCAAATAGAAGAAAAGTTTATCGATGACTTGTTATATATATTGATCCTTATGGGCTAAATCACCTCATAAGGATCATGTTCTACGAATGTACCAAACATGTCCTAAAAATGTCCAATGAATTTCTTTGTAATATCTTCAATAAGAAAAAAAATGAACTGATAATTTCAAAATTTTTTCGATAATTTAAAAAAATATCTATAAGGTTTCATAAGGATATTTTTGTAACAGCTTTAAGCCAAACATGAAACTTATTTAGGACGTTTTTATTTCATAAGAGATTTAAAAAATTCAAACTAAACGCCGTAAAACTAGGTAATGAAAGTCAATTAAACTTGAAATATGAAAAAAATGTTTCAGTAGGAAATGTTGAATTTTGTGCTTTAATTGGCCAGGGTATCTCAGACAATTTTGCTTGCGTTAATAAGTTCACAGACCATCCATAAATTACGTTGCACTATTTTTCACCATTTTCGACTCCCCCCTCCCCCATGTTGCACATTTTGCATACATTAGCGCCATTTTTTCCCTCCCCTTCAAGCGCAACGTGGATGGCCCCTATATACCAAGATTCCACAATGGTCTTTGAAAACAGTTGACCGTAGAGTCAAAAAGATTTCAAATTCCTAAAGAAATGAGAGCGGTAGTAATTTTGATGACTTAAAAATGACAAATGTAACATAAGTGACCCGTGTTGTTGGATCATTAGTTATATCACTGAATGTCATTCGTCTGATATGTACAGAGTTGGAAATTTAATTTCTCCCTCAAAAGCCAGTAAAGCAACAGCGAATGTAAGTCAATTACGTATTTGGAAAGGTTACAACGACGAAAACGCAAATTCACAAATTAAAACGATTGTTTATCCATGCTTAATTTATTCATTTTCTATTTTATCATCTGTGATGAAAACCTCTGTATAGCATGGCTGGTACCACAGCTTTTATATTTGTACATTCTACAATCCTAATAACTCCAATTTTACTACTGTGCTGGTATCTTGTCGGTAATATAAGCATTTGTCACATCTTTGACTTTTCTATTTGAAAAGAATTAGTTAGCAAAGTCATAAATGTAATAAAACACTCCCTATTTTTTTAAATTTTGAAGCTTCAGAATACATTATTACACTGAAAAAAGAGGGCGTATCACATTTTTTTTTCGATTCTTGTAGCGCAACTGTTCTTTAAATATACAATTAAACTCAATGAAGTTTTCCTTGAACTGCATATGCAATAATGAGCATCATGTCGACCAAAAATTATGTGAGATTTATTGTAAGTTTAAGACCACGACCAAAAAGGAAAAGAATTTTGTGAAAAATAAATTATGATAATAAATAAGATTTATTGCTTCACAATGAAGGCTGCTATAATTATCTTTCTCAAATTCGAAACATGCTCTTTTTTCAAAGTTTTATTATTTAAAAAAATATAGTGTATACTAAGAAATAAGATTTAAAAAAACAATTGTTTGCCTAGTAGTTTTGTAATCAGTAAAATTAGCTATTCATTTTGGTTAAAGAAAGTAGGCAGGATGATGTTAGTTCAAGAACCTCTTCTACAATCTCTCTTTCTCTCTGCCTCTTTCCCACTTTCTCGTGTCACCTTTCCTGTACATACTCAGCTAGTCGATCACAAACACACAAGAAAAGAACACACAAAATGACCGTTGATATAAGCCTCTTATTTGTTGTGAAGACTCTTATTCGTGCCTGTTTGAAAAGCCAAGACACGTGTGTCCTTGCAAGGTAGAAAAGATGGAGGCGCTGAGCCATGAGAGAAACGATAGGAGAGTCAGCAGTCCGTATCCCAATGCAACCAGGTATCGTTGAATGAACCCAAAAAGAAATGCAGCAGATGCCAATTTATAAATAGAAATACCACTTTTATGGTGGTAGAATTCGCCCTCGAAGGCAACAACGCCTACAAAACCACTTCAAACCTGAGAGAAACTAAAAGACAAAAGAATTTGTAGTTATAAAAGTCAGTTATCAACAGATAACATCTAATAACTTTTCTTAGTTTGAACTATACGCAAACCTTTCGAACACACACAATGTACCCCTTGGATGGAATGCTAAATTACAAGGAAGATTGTAATAACCTGACTCGGTATGGTCCCTGGTGGATTGAATAGAAACTTCGAGAAATTATTTTAGAAATATTTAAAGTATATAATTTAGTATTTTACACGCAAATCTTTACGTGTCTTTCCCCTATCTAAACTTTGAAGACTAACAGTAAATTTTGAAATTTATTTACGTAATATTTTTTCAGCACATTAAATTAGATTTATTAAATTAAAAAGGAAATAAAAGAAAAAATATTTTCTAACCTACAAAATTTACCAGTGCATGCATTAAGATGCATGAATTTATAAAAATTTTCGAATTATAAAATGGCTACTTACCGACGATTATTATCAATTTTGGCACTTTTTAATTTTAATCTCACCTTATTCCTTCAGTTTTTGAACTTCTGTAGTATTTATTGAGAAAGATCGTTTTGTTTACTTTTCGCCGAAAATACTCGTGTCACATGAAATGTCCCAATGTACTGCTGGAGTCATAAAGCGACTATTAAAATTTAGAAAATAGTAGCTTCACAATTCCAGCAGTTTTTAGTGGCAGTGACGACACGCGAAATGCTTACCATCCATCGTTCGTTATATCTCCGTGCTCACTACTAGCTGAATACTATTAGAGTGTCCGTAAGGTAGATAAGCACCCAAAATTTTTTTGATTCTATGCATTTTTTTATTCTTATATGTTTTTATAGTTTATGGTTGATTTCCATTGCCCCCACTCGCCATTTGTCATAATTCTCGTCGACTATCGGACCTTGCTCTAGTGAAACTTTAGTGATTTTATTGTTAAAATTAAAAGTTACTAAATTTTTACTAGAGCAGGTTGCGGCAGTTGAAAAAAATTATGACAAATGGCGAGTGGGGACAATGGAAATCAACTTTATGATGGTATAATAAAAACTTGTAAATAGTTTTCCGAAATTCGAATATTTGGAAAAGTTATTAATGGTCAAAGTTTGTTGTAGCGTTTTAATAAATAGCTATTTACGAAGTGTATAAAACGTTTGTTCTTAGGGTCCTTTGGAGACGCACCATTAAGGGTGTTGGTGTAGATAAAGGGGAATGTAAGTTTATGTAGTTGAGTCACAGCACTGACGATTCGGAGGACGCTCGAAGACGTAAGATGGTTATCATTATTAAGTTTACCGGTACCAAGCTTTCAGAAATGCAGGTCAATTGTAAAAACGAAAGAAATTAGAAAAAGAACGTATAAATGGCGTGTATTACTCAATTGTCAGTGCTATCCTCGAACTTCAACTTAAATCGCTATTCTCATCTTCTTATGCATTCAAAGCAAGGTTCTAGATGTTTACATCCCCAACGTTAAAGAATTAACAGCGGAAGGTAACCACATGATTCAACACTGATTCGCGCCAAACATATCATAGTTTAACGATTCTAGTCTGAGTATCAATACTACTTATAATAAAATCAGATAAAAAAGACGAATAAGAAAGAGGACCAAGAAGAAAGATATTATATATATAGGAAAGGGTAGGAAAGAAAAAAATGAGAATCGGAGGGGAATGCATGCTAAAGGTAAAGAAGGGAGGGAGAGGGAATCTTTGCACCTGAGTGAACCCGCGTTCGTCCAGAGGGATCGACGCAACCCAGGGTTCATTATTCTCTCAACGGTCTCGACAAAAACCGTACCTACCTATTCGCCCATGTGGATACAGTCTACAGGTAAGTATACGCACGGTCGTGCAGTCCGCGGAAAAAATTTGTTTCATCGAACCCGGAGTAGTCGTCCTTACATTGAAATAAAAATAATTTCATTACCCCGGGAGCCACCTCGATCAGGCTCGGATTTATAACTAAGCTTTCTTGAAAAGTTGTTTTAAAATTAGTTTCCAAATTTTCTTGCCTTTCCTGATTTTTCGATAAATTTTTTTAGACTTCCAGTAAACATCAACGACAATATCAATGTGTGTGAATATTTTTGCCTTTTTCTTATTTATAACAAAATCTTATTTTACTTATTTGAGATAGAGAATATTATTCTTTCATTTGAATTGAATTTTGACCGATTATTTAATTTTAAATTTTCAAAAGAGAGTGGATATTATTTTTGGAAATTGTTCTATATTGTGTTAAAAATTTTTTTCATGAGATGAATGAATGTGAAAATGATTGCAGCCCTGAGTCTCGAACCTCGGGGTTGGTACCCCGACTCCAGGCAGCATCCAGTACATTCCCCTTGCGTTCAATGCTCGCTGATGATATCTAGATGGCTGCCCGGTGTCTGCCGTTCCCGCGAGAATCCGGCTTACGCTTCTACGAAGGTGGAGTGGGAGGAAGTGGAGGCCGTAAATAACGGCTTTATCTACCTGTCTAGCTCATCGATATTGTTGAATCGCTTTCTTTGACACTTCTTGACAGGTCCCACCCTTTGATCTACTCCCTCATTCTGCATCACATTCGCAAACCTTAAACTCCAAAAGTTGACTGTCATCGAATCGTTTTTCGCTGTCAAACTAT